GAGGCGGCAAAACAAAAGTTGCTTCGCTTGTAGTCTCTGAGGCTCCTCTTCGATCAAACTATGGCGAGCCTGCTGATTGACCAATGAATTTGGAACATTCGTGCAGCTATCCAGCAACCAACAAGTCTCTTGTACCGGACTTGTAGACCTGATCAACACACAGGTCTGAAGCGGGGAAAAGCCCAAAGGCGAAGAAGTATAACACACTCTGCCATAAGGCCCATAACTATCGCTGAAGACCATGAATAATTATGGTTATGTAAGACTCGATGTGATTCTAACTCTCTTTGCACACATCAGACTTGATCGGAACCGTAAGTGAAGTTAAAATTGAACATACCCACTTGAGTACTTCATATACTGTAGAAGTCTTTTCTCTACAGGGGCGCACGTTTTCCCTGATTACACAGCATCAAGTGGAATCTGGGGTGATACGGTAGACTGGCAGAACTGCCTGGCTACGGCTGCGCTCAATCTCCCTGCCAGCAGCGCTAAAAATAGTGCTACTTCACAGCTCAAGCAACCTTGCCAAACAAAAATCCGGTTGGTTCCGCTGCCCAGCTCGTAACTTTTGAAGGGCCTACCGGGTCTGCCTGTAGCAATGAGATCTAGATCCACGGGTCTAGAAAGGTCTGCTCTAACGTTGGCCTATACAGATATTACCTACAGGTCCTAGGTTCGAATCCTCGCAGTAGCAAACAGCAAAGACTAAAACATTCGAGAGAAAATCGGGACAGGTTCGGGTTCAAATCCCGCTGCCCCAGCACCAGCTCGTCGTCTCAGTGGGGCACAGAAATGCACAGTAGCAGAAGAAAAGACCAAATACCATCTACCACATGACATTCAAATACTATCTTAACGATGAAGAAGATGAGTGAATTACAATACAGAATCGCTTGAGACAGCACCCCAGACAGTCGTCCATCATGCAAGGTAACTCCTGGAGGATAATGAAACAGGGCACTGCAGAACTATAGATTTAGACTGCCTCTTTCTACGCATACGCATTGATGTTTTCATTTTTTATTCTCATACTTCGAATATCTGTGGTCTCTCCTATTTCTCAAAGTTCAGATTTGGACTCTGACATGTTTCCAAGTCACGTTCTGATTCTGTCAAGATCTGCATTCCTATCCATTGTTGGAGGGTGCATGCTCCTGCGCAGAGATCAGGCTATGTTTAGAACATACGACGGCCCAATGGGAGCTTCACCGATGATATAGAGAATTGGCCAAGGTCCGCACGACTACAGTAACAGCTTTTATGGGTGCACCACCTTCTTCAGCGAGCTGATCCACGCTTAACCATGAATACTGCCAGTTGTGCCTTCTGCATGCTTTGAGTCGCCTGCTTACGGGTGTCTATTGACTTCATTTGCTACTGCCAGTTGTGCCTTCTGCATGCTTTGAGTCGCCTGCTGGTGTTCTTCGGTGAACTGGACTGTGAACTTCAGCGTTGTAGGAGTTGGGCGAGATGGCATCATGTGGACTGGCCAGTACAGTGTGGGGCAGGGGCACAATGCCGCATGAGCTGGGCGGTGAAAAAGACCCTCTTAAATAAAAACAGATGATCGGCGTGGTATGTCGTGCATGTACTTACTATGTACTTGCATTCGACTATGTGGAGGTTTCTGATGCATGGGCCGCGATGATATCAAAGCGCTTCGGGTTCAGGGATGTCCAATGACTTGGAGCTGTTGGGATTCCGCTGTGGTGGACATGATTGCAACCACGTGGATCTGGCCGTAATTGCACTCAGCGCCTAGGGAGATATCCTGGGCGCCCGGGTCCCGATGTCACGCCCGGATTGGCGACCGGGTGACTGGCCGGGCATGACCCCCGGGCATGGCCCCAGGCAGCCTCAGCGCAAAAAAAAAAAATAAATAAAAAAAATCAAATCCAAAAAAATCTGAAAAAAAAAATGTGTTGTGTAGAATTGCAATGCAAACAACTTTTGGCTGAGGGTCACATCAGAATTCCTCACAGAACTAAAGATAAAAAAGAAAATAGCCATATCACACTAAGGCACCCCCCTTTAAACCCCTTTAGCCCCTTCAAAATTCATTTGCACTCCCCTTTTCCCCCCTTGACAGCCAACACTCGAAAAAAGAAAAGAGCCCGGATTTGGGCTTCTCGAAGAGTGCAGAAAAACCCCACCGCCTTTTTTTTTTTTTTTTTTTTTTTTTTTTTTTGCCATGACCGGGTCATCCGGGCGTCATGCCCTGGTGACCGGCCGGTCATGAAAATCTTCCTAGCTCAGCGCTCGTTGTGAACATGCCGTAAACCTGCCAAACGACGTGACCAAAAAGGCAAAAAAATCCGCGTCTGCCCCGAAACGAGAAAAAAAACCACAAAATGTCACGTAGGACGCACGGCTGTGTACTTGTACTGAAACATGACAGGCGGGGGCGAGAAAGAGAAGAACACGGCGTGGAATCTAACCTTTGGCACGTCAAGAAAGAGAAGAACGCCGCGTGGAATCAAACCTTTGGCACGTCAGACGCTGCGCAAAACAAAGGAGTGGAAAAACGTTGTGCACCCCTGCCCTACAAATAGAAGTGGAAAAACATTTTGTGCTCCGCGCAGCGCCCTGGGCGCAAGAGGAAAAGGGTCTCCAGTGGGAGCGTCATTCGAGACCTGCGTTTTCCTGAAATAAGAGTAAGGGAAAGAAGCTTCATGATGAAGGTGGGATATATTTGCGAGTGTGAGAGAGGACTGGAAGGGGGACAGACATGCCGATGGACTGAGGTTTGGGAATGTGAGAGAGAAAGGGGCTGTTGGCTGAGGGGAGGGAGATGGAAGAGAAAGTATGAGGTTGGCAGGTATGGAGAGAGAGAGAGAGAGAGAGAGAGAGAGAGAGAGAGAGAGAGAGAGAGAGAGA